GGGATCATAGTGTTTCCAGAAAACCATGAAAATAGGGTAGTGCTCGGAGATGAATCCTTGTTTTGGACCCTTTCCGAGGCTGATTGCTCTTCCAACGATGTTGTTCCACACCCAGAATCAGTGGAAAATATTGTACAAATATTGAATATATTGCAATATCTCACCGGCCTACTAATGAACAAAATACTTGCTTTGTGGATCAGCTGATTTATTAGTAGCACTGATTTCAGATCATAAAACAATCATCTCAAACTTTTCATGAATGTCCTTGTTGCNCACGGACGTGTGAGTGATTTTCCGCAATGAGGGCAAGTATGCCTTGCCTGATGTTCGTGTACTTGGCTGATATGCCTCTGTAAGTCAAGCTCACGTGGGAAAGTCTCAACACACTTTTCACAAACATGGCGCACTCCTTCAGGATGTATAGCTCTTCGATGCTTTTTCAGACCTGCCCAACTTTTGAAGTGCTTTCCGCATTTAGGACATGGATGTCCTGCCTGTTCCGATGCATACATTTGTGCCCTAGTTGACTTCCTAAGCGGAAGAGAGTTGTCTGCGTGTTTTTTCCTCATGTGTTCACGAAGTTTAGATGAATACTTGTAGGCGCTTGAACACATATTGCATTTGAAATCTTGGCGGCTGGTGTGAGATTGCTGGTGCCTTATGAAGCACGATTGGTGCTTAAATTCCCGTCCACATACCGGGCATTTATAAGCCAAGGTTTGACTAATTGGCTCCACCGGACGAGATGAGTTTCCTGGCGATCTCGCATGCACAGTAGAAATTTCGGCAGTTTTCGATGCACTTGGGCGAGCATTCTTACTTATTCCTGCTCGGACGCCAACTGTATCTGAGATCGTATATTCCGGCTTCCTCTCATACACTTTGTCAGCATCCGTGGCTGTTGAGAAGAGGAGTGTGGAAACAGTGGTGGGCTATTTAAATGCATGTAAACTCCACATGCCGCACCATTCATTCCGGGTACACGCTGACATGTAGCATGAGAAAGCTAGTATAAATGCATATATATATAATGGTGTACATATTGTGGTGTAGAAGATTCAATAGTTGTTGAACGTCCCCTAATTAGGTAGCTGAACTGTTCTCTTTGCGAATCGAGAGTAAAATGAAATTAGCCAGGTAGTCATGTTAACTACTTTTGGGGGGATATAAATATTTACTTGCCACTGATTATTCCAATCAATAGCTCCAAGCCTCTTTGTCCATGCAGGGTTCAGATGCGCACCCACGATTGCCATTTGAGCAGAGATCTCGTGCACTCAGGTGAATTCAGAGGAATGTAGCCTACGTCATGAGAAATTCCACATGCATGATAACTTCAGGTCAACAAATTTGTTGTTCCGTGAAACATTGTCTACGCCGCTCGCATAAGCTGCTTATATGACCATGGCTTTTTTACCGAAGTGGATTCACCATAGAAGCATCCCACGTTATGGGAGATTCCACTTGCGTAATATGGGCATGAAAAACAGTTTGTGGTGCCGTAAAACCTCACTGAAAATCACACTTCTAAACATCCCGGGTCAGCCGTTTGATTCACAGTCTGCATTCTTTGTCCTACCACGATCACTCTCTTTAAGTGCCCAGCTCCGTGCCTCCAGCTCGCTGTTAGGTTCGAAACTAGATCCGGCACGACAGTACAACATGGCCTTACCTTGTGCATTGTTTGGCGCTTCCCCAACTCATGGACACAACGAATATCCTAACTGTCTCAAAATACCAAGGGAAATGAAGTGATCAACTGATAGACCGACGATCTGTTTGAATAATTGTGTTGCAAATTTTGGAGGCAAATGAATTTGTCCCAAGAGAATGAGGCAGGCACAATATATTCTTACACCTATTAATGGGCTGATATCCACGATATCTGATTTAAACTCTGACTCACACAGTGGAACATATATCGATAACAGATTGTCCAGCTGCCAAACTGTGTAGGAATAGAAAGAAATAATGCGTCTGTATGTCATCGAAGTCATCGAAGCAATATATCGTTGATCAGATGCCACCCTCGAAAGAACTCACGTGAGGTAATCCCATATGACATATATTATCTGGTCAATAACAATATATGTGACTGAAGAGTTCTTGTCTCCTGCTCCTGACCTTCGGGACCACCAAGGTGATTATT